TTCCCCAAAAATCCTGAAATGTTCCCAAAAAATCCCGAAAATCCCGGAGCGTTCCCAAAAATCCGGAGAGAAACGTTGCCGAAAATCCGGAAACTCCAAAATGTTCCCAAAATTCCCAAAAATCCGGGAAAGTTGCCCAAAAATCCCGAAAAGTTCCCGAAAATCCCAAAAATCCGGGAATGTTCCCCAAAAATCCGGGAATGTTCCCAAAAATCCCAAAAATTTGGGAACCTTCCCAAAAATGTGGGAATATTCCCAAAAATACGGGAAAAAAAAATTCCCAAAAATCCTGAAATGTTCCCAGAAATCTGGGAACGTTCCCAAAAACCCCAAAAATTCTGGGCAATTCCCAAAAATCCCAGAATGTTTCCAGAATTCCCAAAATTCCCGAAATGTTCCCAAAAATACCAAAAATCCGGGACCGTTCCCGAAAATACGGAAATGTTCCCAAAAATCCTGAAAAATTCCCAGAAATGCTGAAAAATTCCCAAAAATCTGGGAAAATTCCCGAAACTCCTGAAATACTTCCAAAAATCCTGAAAAATTCCCAAAAATCTGGGAACATTCCCAAAAATGTGGGAAAATTCCAAAAAATCCGTTAAAATTCCCAAAATCCTGGGAACGTTCCCAAAAATCTGTGAAGATTCCCAAAAATTCAGGGAAATCCCCAAATATCCTGAAATATTCCCAAAAATCCGTGAAAATTCCCCAAAATCCAGAAATATTTCCAAAAATTGGGGAAAATTCCCAAAAATCCGGGAAAATTCCCAAAATCCCGGGAAAATTCCCAAATATCCCCCAAAAATTTTTCCTCCAAATTTTTGGGATTTTTGCCCCGTTTTCCCTCCTGATTTTTTCGCGTTTTCCCAAATTTTGGTGTTTTTCCCCCAAAATTTTGTTTTTTTTTTTCTGTTTCCCCTCGGAATTTTGGATATTTTTCCCAAAATTTTGGGAATGTTGGGGTTTTCCCACCTTGGGAGGGGCGGAGCACGAGGACGTAGTCGGGGGTTCCGCACTCCAGAGCCTTCCGGAACTCGGCCTCGCTGGAAAAGCGGGAAAAAAAATCCCAAAATTGGTCAAATCCCGACAAATTCCCAACGGTCCCAGAAAATTCTCCAAAATTCCAGAAAATTCCCACAAAATTCCCCCAAATTTCCCAAAAAACTCCTTCAAAATTCCCCCGAAATTGCCCCAATTTGACCAAAAATTCACAATATTCCCACAAAATTCCCCCAAAATTCCCAAAAAATTTCCCACAAAATTCCTTAAAAATTAAAAAATATTCCCACAAAATTCCCCAAAAACTTCCCACAAAATTCCCTAAAACTCCCCCAAAATTCCATAAAATTCCTCAGAAAATCCACAAAATTCCCCCCAACTTCCTCCAAAATTCCCAAAAATTTCCCTCAAAATTTCCCTCAAAATTCCACAAAATTCCCACAAAATTCCTCAGAAAATTTCCCACAAAATTCCCTCAAAACTCCCCCAAAATTGCCCAAATTTCACCTAAAATTCACAATATTGCCACAAAATTCCTCAAAAAATTCCCCCAAAAATAAAATGTCTCCAAAATGTTCCCCAAAAAATTTCCCCAGAAATTCCCCATAAAATTCCAAAGCCGCACCAAAAAATAACCAAAAAATTACAAAAATTATCCCCCCAAAAATTCCAAAATTCCAAAAAAATTTTCCTCCAAAATTTATAAAAATCTACAAAAATTTTCCCCCAAAATATTCCCAAAAAATTCCCAAAATTCCCCCAAAACTCCCCCCCCAAAAAAAACCCACCAAAAAATGATAAAAACATCCCCAAAAACCCCAAAAATTCCAAAAAATTTTCCCCCAAAATTTATAAAAATCTACAAAAATTTTCCCCAAAAATTCCCCAAAAATTCCCCAAAATTCCCCCAAAACTCCCCCAAAAAAATTCCAAAAAACACAAAAAAAATTATAAAAACATCCCCAAAAAATCCCCAAAAATTCCAAAAAAATTCCCTCCAAAATTTATAAAAATCTACAAAAATTTCCCCCAAAATTCCCCAAAAAAATCCCAAAAATTCCCCAAAAACTCCCCCAAAAAAATGAAAAAAACACACAAAAAAATGATAAAAACTTCTCCAAAATCCCCAAAAATTCCAAAAAATTTCCCTCCAAAATTTGTAAAAATCTACAAAAATTTTCCCCAAAATTCCCAAAAATTCCCCAAAAATTCCCCAAAAAATTCAAAAAAACCACAAAAAAATTATAAAAACTTCCCCAAAAACCCCAAAAATTCAAAAAAATTTCCCTCCAAAATTTATAAAAATCTACAAAAATTTCCCCCAAAATTCCCAAAAAAAATCCCAAAAATTCCCCAAAAACTCCCAAAAAAAAATCAAAAAAACCACAAAAACATTATAAAAAAATCCCCCAAAAAATCCCCAAAAATTCAAAAAAAAATCCCCCAAAATTCAACAAAATTCTCCAAATTTTCCCCTCGATTTTTTTTCCCAAAAATCCCCCAAAATCCCCCAAAATTCCCCAATTTTGGCCCCGCCCCCACCTGCTCACGAGCTGCTCCAGGGGCGCCCCCAGGTGGAGGCGGAGGCGGGACCCGAACCCTGGGGGGGGGGGAGGGGTGATGACGTCATCAAAGCGCGCCCGAAACCCCTGCGGGCGTGCCCGGGAAACCCCAAATTCCCCAAAATCCTCCCCAGGTGTGCCCAGGTGACCCCAAATCCCCCAAAATTCCCCCCAGGTGTGCCAATGACCCCAAAATGACCCCAAATTCCCCAAAATTCCCCCCCAGGTGACCCAAAATCCTCCCCAGGTGTGCCCAGGTGACCCCAAATCCCCCAAAATCCTCCCCAGGTGTGCCCAGGAGACCCGAAACCCCCCCAGGTGTGCCCAGGTGACCCAAAATGACCCCAAGCCCCCCCAAATGTGCCAAGGAAACCCCAAAATTCTCCAAAATCCTTCCCAGGTGACCCCAAAATCCTCCCCAGGTGTGCCCAGGTGACCCCAAAATGGCCCAAAATTCCCCCCAGGTGACCCCAAAATGGCCCCAAACCCCCCCAGGTGTGCCCAGGTGACCCTAAATTCCCCAAATTATCCCAAAATCCTCCCCAGGTGACCCCAAATCCTCCCCAGGTGTGCCCAGGAGACCCGAAACCCCTCCAGGTGTGCCCAGGTGACCCCAAATTCCCCCAAAATCCTTCCCAGGTGTGCCCAGGTGTGCCCAGGTGACCCCAAATCCCCCAAAATCCCTTCCAGGTGTGCCCAGGTGACCCCAAATCCTCCCCAGATGTGCCCAGGTGTGCCCAGGTGACCCCAAAACCTCCCCAGGTGTGCCCAGGTGACCCCAAATTCCCCAAAATCCTCCCCAGGTGACCCGAAATCCTCCCCAGATGTGCCCAGGTGTGCCCAGGTTCCCCCAAATCCTCCCCAGGTGTGCCCAGGTGACCCCAAATCCCCCAAAATCCCTCCCCAGGTAGACCCAGGTGCCCCCAAATTCCCCAAAATCCTCCCCAGGTGACCCGAAATCCTCCCCAGATGTGCCCAGGTGTGCCCAGGTGACCCCAAAATCCCCCCCAGGTGTACCCAGGTGACCCCAAAATCCTCCCCAGGTGTGTCAAGGTGACCCCAAAT